GCTGTTCAGGTCAGTCTGTCTTCATCTCTCTGCTCATGAAGAGAGGCGAGGGAAGGTACAGGGACAGGGCTCGTCTTTCTCAACATCCACCATCATATTGGTAAATTCCATAGCGAAAACCCTTCCTAAATTTTGCTAAATTATAGTTTTCGTTTTAATAATGACATAGTTAATTCATCAAAATAATGTTACACCAAATCTGATTTCATTTTCTTCCTCCTAAAGTAGGAAACTCTCAAGGTGCTTAGTGAAGTGCTAAATGCTTTATATTGACAGACGACCGCTGTTCAGCAATCTATATTCGCAGTCTGCCAAAATGAAAGCCGTCATTGGATCTTCTTTGTTGTGCACAGTACTTTAAATTACAAATGATGTTGATTTTAATCATCTTTGCTCTATTCACTCACAAAGCAGGATGCTGTAGAAGCCAGCTCTCAGATTCTGTATAAAATACTTTTTATTGGGCTTAGCACTTGCACAGAGCTTTATACCTTCAAAAATACTTTGTAAACAACAACTAGTCAATTCTTACCAACAAAGAAAAAAGAAAATGCATCGTGATGGGTGGAAAGGTATGTGTAAAACAGGCCTAAAGGAAAGAATTTCATGATAGATTACATTTGAAAACAAGATATTTATTTAGCTATCTATTCTCATAAGAAAGAAGTCAAAATTTTTTGTGGAAAATGGAAATAAAAGGTAAGTTTACTTTGATGCTCAAATTTTTAAAAAATCTTTAGCAGCCTCATTTTCATAATATGTATTTTCTGTAAATATGTGAAGTCATCTGATATTTCAGGAAATGCTTACCAGGTCCTCACTTTCCATTATAACAGAGGGTAAATCTCGATTTTAGTGAACCTATGAATTAATGACCAGTAGAACATACGCCACCCAGGAAAGTCTTCGACATATGGAATGCTGTTTTACACCCTACACAAAGTAAATATCTGTGACAAAGTCAGTAAGACCCAAGTAGTCTCAAAGGACTGACACGTGTGTAAGTTATTGCTTGTACTTCCTGACCTGTAAGCAGCAAGGACTCTACTTGATATAGATGCAGGTAACTAACTTGGTCCAAAGCTAAATGAGTCCCCAAGTTCACATTAACTATATGAAAATATATAGCACAGCAAGGGTCACTAACATATTATATAAATAGGGCACTGTAAATTTCATTCCTGGTTTTCTATGTAAAACTGCAACTTTTGCCTTCCTTGGCACAGTTTTTTTTCTCCTGTTCTCTTTTAAAGGTTCTCATCTTAAGCTACGTTTTTTAAATGAAATATTTGTGTATTCATCTTGGAAAATGACATAAACTCCATGAAGAGTCAAAAATGTTATGAACACTGTAGTTTTCACTGAATAATAGGGGTTTTTGAATCATGCCAAAACACAAAGGGAAGAATTTGTCATCATTGCTTTTGATAGATTTGGAAATTGAGAAAAACAAGGGTCATTCAAGAAGAAATTTCAAGGCTAAGGGTGATGAGGGAAACCTCAATCTAATATGCAATTGAACTGGGGCCATATTTCAGAAGGTGGAAGTTGTGTTTAAAATATATATATATAAGCACATATTCAGGAAGACCTGTATTATATATTTAATAATAAAATGTAACCAAAAATGTTAAAAAGAAAACTTTTTGGCAAATTAGAGTTAGTATGATTTACTTGTGCAAACAATGTTTGGGGTAGAACTCAGAACCAAGACAGGCTCAGAGAATTACACCCAGCCCTGATGGCAGACACTACCTATAGCCATAAAAGGTGAGTGACATACAGAGATAGCTTTTAGCCATCATAGCTTGATGTTTGTCATATATGGACATAGTGTGATGAGACATTGGCCTTATATGGGAAATAATCTGAACAGTCGGCAGTCTATGATTGGTTAAGATCCAGAAATTTGTTACCAAGATAGGTTACACTTTGTTTACTTACTAGGTTCAGTTGCAATTCACTGTGTAGTATGGAAATACATTTAGATCAAATTTAATTCAATTTCACAATAGTCACAGTAAAAAGTTATTTGCCTAGATGTTTATATTTCCTTTTTTAAACTTCTATTTAATAAATATAAATTTCAAAAGTACAACTTAGGTTTATATTTCAATTAGGAAAAACTGAAAATTTATTGAGTGTATTTCTAAATTCCTTTAAGTGGCATGGATGTTTGGCACAAACAGCCAGAATACCACTTAGGATGCCCATATTGTATCAGAGTGCCTGGGCTCCAGTCCTGGCTCTGCTTCAAATTCCTGCTTACTGCTAATAAGTAACTGGATCTCTGCAATCCAATGGGAGACTCAAAGTTCTGGACTTCTGGCTTCAATTTGACCTAGACCTGGCTGTTTGAGGAAATTTAGAGTGAACCAGGGCATGAAAGATAGCTCTTTCTGTCTGACTCTATTTTCTCTTTCTGCATTTCTGCTTTTCAAATACATAAAAACAAATAAAAATTAACTTACTTAAAGTATCTTCATCAAGGTCAGAAAAGTTAGGGACAGAAACATGAGCTAAATTACTGAGTATTGCAATATTGATGCAGTATGTAAACTGACATCTCGTAATCTACATGCTTCTTCTATGTAAGCAACCCAAAATTTGCTTCTGATAAACTGGTGGAAATATGCATATATATCAGATTCTACTGACATATTTAGGACAATCATCAAAAATGAAACAAACTTCAGAGCCAGTGCTGTGGCGCAGCGGGTTAAAACTCTGACCTGAAGCACCGGCATCCCATGTGGGCGCCGGTTCTAGTCCCAGCTGCTCTACTTCCGATCCAGCTCCCAGCAATGGCCTTGGAAAGCAGTAGAAGATGACCCAAGTTCTTGGGCTCCTGCACCCACGTGAGAGACCCTGAAGAAGCTCCTGGCTCCTGGCTTCGGATCTGCGCAGCTCCGGCTGTTGTGGCCATCTGGGGAGTGAACCAGCGGATGGAAGACCTCTCTCTTTGTCTCTACCTCTCTCTGTAACTGTCTTTCAAATAAATAAAATAAATCTTTTTTAAAAAAGAGACAAACTTCATAACCAAATGGTAAAGCAACAGAAATTTTATACTGGATTTTATCTTACTGAAACCTTCAATCTTATTAGCAACATCTCTATTATACTCAGGTATCATTGCAAAACATTATTTGATTTCAAAGGTGGGTGAATTTATTTATGAACCCATAGAAAGGGACTGATGTTCCAACCAGGAAAAAGGAAGTCTAATAAAGTTTGATATTAAGAAGACCCATATTAACTTTCTAAAAACTGTTTCTCTTAACTCATTATGACTTAAAAAACAAATTTTGAAAATTATTTTTAAAGATTTATTTAAGAGGAGAGTGATATATATATACACATGTACATATATATATATATATATATATATATAAAGAGAAAGAAAGAGAGAGAATTTTCCATTCGCTGGTTCACTTCCGAAGTGGATACATAGCCAGAGATGGTTCATTCCAAAGTCAAGAGCCTAGAGTTCCATCAGGGCCTCCCAAGTGGGTTACAGAGGTTCAAGTTCTTGGGCTATCCTCTGCTACTTTCCTAGGTGCATTACCAGGAACTTGGATCAAAACTAGAGCAGCCAAGGCTCTAACAGGCACTTCTAAAAGGAATGCCAGCATTGCAGGCAGCAACAGTTCTCTGCGCCACCCCGCAGCTTCTAAAAATCCTTTAAAAACTATTTCAGGAGGAATGGCTCTGTGATTCAGTGGGTAAAACTGCCACCTGAGGCACTGGCATCACAAACGGGCACCGACCGCTCCACTTCTGATCCAGCTCCCTGCTAATGCGCCACGCTCAGTTGTTCTGGGGTTTGGCTAATTTTTCTTTCTTTCTTTTTTTTTTTTTGTTAGGACTTTGCAAAGTGCTTTTCAACCACATTTACTAGTCTTTCCTAACAAATAAGCAGTTGAGCCCTTTCTTCCCACTCTTTTACAGATCCTGATGTTAAAACACAGAGATATTAACAAGCATGTTAAGGCTTACACAGCAAGCTGAAAGGCAAATAAGGAATGGTTTTCAACAGACTGCTGTTTAGTTGACTGGGCACTAGAGACTCTCATAATACAGTGAATTAAAAGGGGGAAAGAAATTTAAATTATAAAATAAGTCCAAAAAAATGTATCTTTGAAACCACAGTTTCTTCAACCTCAGATATAAATACACCATGATACAATGCTTGCTGTTGAGTGTCTAGGAAGTCTGCAGGCTGATGATTCTACTCCTGTCTATCTTCAACTTTTCTCACCAATTCATATTCTAAAACATGCCAGAAAGTTGAAGCTACAGCCAGTGGCCAAAAATGGCTGCTGCCTAAGGCCTGGGACCCATGAACTTGGAATTTTTCAGAAAAGCTCTTGAACTGTACCTAAATGCTAATTTGGAATGGAAGCTTATAGTTGCTGGTATAGGAAATATGAGGAGGTGGCGAAACAGCAAGTAACTCAGCAATCCCAACAGAGGGACGTTTTAATTCTCAAGAAATAGAATCCGAGAGTCTGAAGAATTCCAAAGATTCCCCTAGTCAAGAAGCATTCCTCGAACACTCTCAAGGTGCCAAGCTCGCATGCAGGCCACAGGGAACAGCCACGAAGATGTCCTAATCTGAACAATGACCTAACTCCGTCTGGGGGTCAGAAGAGCTTTTACGGATGTGAGAGTTTAAGCTGAGACCTGAAAGACTCACAGGAGTCAGACAGGCTGAAGAGGTTAGTGAGAAGGGCCTTCAGGCCCTGAGAATCAGTGCACACGAAGACATGAGAGGCACTGGAAGAACTAAGAAAAGCTGGTCGAGGAAGAGAGGTTAAGTAGAAGTTTAGGGTTGGCAGGGAACAGGGCTTGCCAGGACTTATCAGTAATGATGAGTGTTTCCCACTTTGCCACAAAGCCTTTCCCATGATCACTCCAGTCTTCTGTGCCTTTCTCTCTCTCTCTCTCTCTCTCTCTCTCTCTCTCAACTTCCCATGTTCCCCTGCCCCTCCCCACAGGTATTTAGCACTTATACGCACAGAGCCTCTCTCAGGAGGAGTTTGCTGCTGTTGGGAGAATCAAGTAATTGAATGATGTGAATTTCCTTGAGTTTCCATACGTTCTTGTAAATTTAGCCTCCAACTGAAATAAACCAACTAGTAGTCATGAAATTCAAAATTATGCTCTCGTCAGCTAAGCCGAATGAAAAGAAATTAGGCAGAGAAGTAATAGGCAGCCCATTTTAAAATGGTATCTTTTATAGAAACATCATTACATGGGACAATTAAAAGAAGGAAATTTATTTGAACATGCATTTTTAAAACACAGCTCAACGAAAGCATAACTGGAACAACAGTACAAAAATTTATGACTTTGTTAAAAGACAACTCAGAACATGAAAATAAAATTCATATAATGAACAGTGAGTTGAAATTCAGACATATGCAAAGTATTGATTTTCAAAAATTATCTAAAATAATCCATGATCGTCAATGATTACTAGAATAACACCTTAAATAATTCCTGAAAATTATTCATTATTGCATGCTGTAAACTAGTAGGTACATTATAGGAATCACTTATAAATAACATTAAATGTTTATTTATAAATAACTGGCAACTTTTTTGGCCCTCTGCAGGTGAACGTCTTCAGTTAAATAAATATTTATTTTTGTTTGACTTCATTTGTCTGCCTTTTAAATTTACAACAGGTATGTCAAGGCATCAATTTCATTTTGTGACAATTATGTTAATATTAATCAGGTCTACATAAAATCTCCTTGGTTTGAGAAAAAAAGCTTTAAAAGCACAAAATGGTGAATTAGCATTCCTTGTGATAAAATGATTCATGTTTATAGCTTTAAAAAGCTTGGGAAGAGGCGGCAGGTGTTTGGCGTTGTGGCTAGCACAACGTTTAGAATTCTAGCATCCCATGTGAGAGTCCCTGGGTTCCAGGCTGAGCTCTACTCTTAAGTTTAGCTTCCGGCTAATGTGCATCCTGTGAGGCAGCAAGTAAGAGCTCAAGAACTTGGGTCCCTGCCACCCACATGCAAGACTGGGATTGAGTTCCTCACTCATGGCTTTTCCTGGTCCTTTTAGGGCATGAACTAGCAGATGGTAGCTCTCTCACCCACCTTGCTTTCCAAATAAACAAAATTTTTTTCATAAAAAATTCAAACAAAATTATAATAATTTATTCTATGTCACATAATGAGAATTAAGATTGATTTCCATTGTTTACCTGTTTCATTATTGTACTATTTCCCTAAATGTCTTGACCAGAAATAACCATAAATCAGAAAAATCTAAACGACATTAATGTCCACATAGGTTTTCAGACTACTGGAATATCCTATAATTTTGCAGAAGAAAGAATAGAAACTCTAATTTCAGAGATATTCAAAATGCCTCATTTCAGTAGGTCTTAATTCTAAACACCTCATTTCAACAGTGTGGATAAAATAAAAACTATTTTTTGCTGCACCTGCTGCTGCTCGTGTGTATTCAAAATAAAAGAATACACATTGAAAATAATAAAATGACATGAAAATAAAAAAGCATTATAAATCTCATTCTATAACATTGGGTGATCAAGAAGTGTAACCAGTTTTCTATTTAGAGCCCACACGCCTATCTGTGGAAGAACTTAATCTTAGCCAATTCACCATCATCTCATTCTCTCATTCATTACCTCTAGGACGTGTTCATAGATCAAGAACATTAAGTGCCCAAGTGTGAAGGTTCACCTTGCCTGGGTCATTAGCTGTCCCTTGAACATCCTCTGAGATGTGTTCACTTGGAGCTTTCACATATGCCTCACACAAATTAGGCTACATCATTCCTCTTTGCAAACCATCAAGTCAAGCCCAGTATGTTTGTTTTCAAATATATTACTATGCTTTCCCTTAACTCCACAGAGCAAAGTTCTGCCTTAAATCACCCTGCCACCTGTGTGCATCCTATGCTTCTCTGGGATACTCTGGGCACCTGGAAACTCTTTTATGTTCTCACGAGACCTTCTCCACTCAGAGCTTGTTTTGTGAAGTTATGCTTGTCACCTCCCTAGCCATTCCCCTGAAAGTGGGAGTTTAAAAAAAGCTCATTGCTATGGTGCACTTGCACTTTGATTGTAGTTGGGGCTTCTGCCCCAGGTGCCCCAGGCTCGGGCCAGGAGGGGCAGCCTGATGCTTTTCTCTTTCTCCAGTTCCCCCCACTGTTGGAGCTCCATTTGAGTTGTCTGTGTCTTCCTTACCATGCTGTCAGGGAATCTTCAGTCTTGTTCCTGTAACAGGCCAGAACCTGAATCCCCTAAATCCATATTTCCAAAACCATCTACCTAGCAACCCCATTAAGCTCAGCAGTAGAAGCATCACTCCAATCACATTAGGGTGCCTTGTAACTTTCCCCAAGGCTGCATCAGGTTTCAAGCTCTGTGCCAGGGCAGGGAGTAGGACCATCTAAGCAGAGACTTCAGCATTCCTTAGCTCCACCAGTCCATCAGGTGTACAAACATCAGGAAATGTAGGTAGAATTCAGTATTCCCTTTATCAACTTCACAGCCTTTTTAGAAACATGTTCGTGACTCATTTACTAGTGGGGCTGCCAGAAGATGTACAGGCCAATTCTGTTATTTGGGAACCATATTGATCTACTTAAAACTGCTTAGCCCTGCAAGACACACTCACAGCTTGTGCTTCTCCAAGTCCTGATGATGTCTGTGCTTTAACCAAAGGGAAAGGCGGATAATCCAGGCCCTCAAATGCCCATGAACGTCAGTGCTCTACCCGGGATTATTTGACGGCTTCCAATACACCTTTCCCCAAGAAGCACCCTATCTTTCTGAGCGTTATTCAGAAAGTTTGTAGAAAACGGGCATTATTACAACCTATGCTTGGATTTCAGCACTTTCACACCGAAAATAAACCTTTCTACTTTTCCACGAACTCCTTGAAGTATCCTCATTTATTTGTTTAGTCTTCGGGATGCATTTCTTTCTGTTCCATGATCCTTCAGCATTACTTTGAATTGACCATCTGAATATCTAAACTCATGGATTAAAATATTTTGTTTTCTCTGCTTTATTTTGTCTTATGGTTCCCTGAAACATGAAAATTAATGGTTAGCTGTCTAAATGAACAAAGTTCCATTACGAGAATGAAATTGTTAGATATATAGATAAACAGATAGATAGATATAGACAGATGATAGATAGATACAGATAGATTTAACCATTCAGAAATATCATGCCATCTAAACATTCTACATGGATTTTATGTCATGCCATTCAGAAATTAAAATTTTATTATGCATTCAAATTGATTAGCCTCTTATTTTATATATTGTTTCTAATACTGGAGATTTTCATGGGATGAATAATCTGGTTTACAGAAAACAGTAGGATATGGGTTATGGGTTACTATACTACAGTAGATAATCTATTTCCCTTTTAGTTCTTACATACCAGAGAATGAAATGCATCACACACACAATAAAGACCATCCTACATGGATGATGAAGTGATGATGTTATAAATTATAAGGTCTGATACAAGTATTGTATTATTATAATCTGACATTCTAGAAAGCAGACATCCTCAGCCATCTAAGAGTCAACATCATTGCCCACTGAAAAGGAAAAGGAAACATTTATTAGTAGGAAAACCCATCTATCTGTTTGGACTACCTTACAGTCAACAACCATAAGTACTTCAAAAGCATTCTGAACCCCCATCTCTGCAATAGTTTAAGAATATGTAATATATTTTTCTTAGTATTGAGTATGTCATCAAAGTTATATGTCATATTTCCTGAGCTACTCTGCTCTCCTGACTTTGTCATAAAATATATGGAGCCAGACTTTATGTGGATAGTGATTCTTCTGTATTGACATTGTTATCTTGGGCACCAGTGACACTGGATATTATTTCAATTTTACTTTCTTAACATTTGGAAAAGTGCAGGGCAATGACAGGAGAGCTGGAGCCCAGATTCCTGAGGAAGCAAGGATTTTCATTTCCAACACCGCCTCTGAGCTGAGGGTTTGACGTGTCATTTGGTATTCCAGTCCTGTGCCTTCCTTGATAATACTGATAAGGTGCAAATCCCTGGAAGCAAACACAACAGCCCTTTGATTCTACGCCTGCCCCTGTGTGTTTTTTTTTTGTTTTTTTTTTGTTTTGTTTTTTTTTTTTTAATGCAATAGCTTTATAAATTCAGTGTGCACTTAGCTTTCCATGAGTATTACTTACCTACCAGTCAATTACTAATCCTCAAAAAATGCAAGGAGATTGGGATAACCTTAGCAAAAATTCTCCTCTTTCACAAGACCTACATAGCAAAAGCCCATTAGGTAACTGTGGTTTCTGAAATGTAAATAGTCACATTACACCCAAGGAAAAGGCAACGTATTTTTGATAAGATATATATCTTCATAAAATGGATTTTAAAAGGTTAATATTGTGATTTAGACCACATAAAGTCTCCACATCACAAAAGAACATACTTCAGTTTCATCCTAACACTTCCAATTGTTCATTTTGTAGATTACCATATTTTTACTGAAAAAAAAATTGTCTCTTTTTTTCTTTCCAGGGTGTAAGGTATAAGAACTCAACCCAAAATTGCTACTCACATGAAGCACAGCATGGTACTGAAACAAGGGATCCAACCTTCAAAGATTGTGTTAAAGCCTTGAATGAATCAAGGGCATTCTCCAAGTGTCAAAACAAGAGTAAATTATCTTTATAGCCTGTAAGATGCAAATAATGTTTCAGAGACAATAGAATTATTCTGGAATGACCCCTGTCTTTGGAAAAGATTATTGCAACAGACTATGGTGGTTCAATTCAAACCAATGTTTTCCCCGTCTTTAATATTTATTTTCCTCATTTAAATCAACAGTTCTTTCTGGAGCAAAGTGACTCTATTTGATCTGTTCTGTATTTTTATTTGTTTGTTTTTTTTCATTTGTGGCACACACACACATATGTACAATTATTCAAACATTTATACCTAAATGTGCTGTGAGCTAGCCTGTGATAGAAATGTTGCAAATATATTTTCAAGAGATTTAAAAATTCCAGGCTGACCCAATATATTCAGCAAAATGTCAGAAATAGAAAGTTTTACATCTGTCTATTTGCTCATTCTTAGAGAACAAGTTACTGTAACTTGAATGCCTCTGTAACATGTTTGTTTCCTGATGTTGATGGTTAGTCATAACCAGGCACCTGGTTATACTGCTCAGTGCTTTACATTTCTGACAATGTCACTGCTTTTCCAATGAGCTTTAGGTCTGATGGCAATTTTATTTTCAGGTTCAGTCATATGGTGCTTTCCTAGAGGAATAGGTTCTATCACAGGGGTAAATTATTCAAATCTAATTTAACAGACTCAATAATTCTTCTCAGTTTTATCTTAGGCATTCTGTATTCGTTTCCTACACCTAGTGGCTACGTAACAATTCAATTACCAAAGCCCTTCATCCAGAAAGCATCGCTGATTTCCAGTAATTCTTATTCGGTTTGATTTCTTTTTTTTTTTTCTTCTGGTTTAACACATGTCAGTCGGTGTTGACCGAGTTAAAAATCTCAAAATAAGCTTAGCACTGTGTCAGTATGTAGGTTAAAAATGAAAAAAAAATTTAATAAAATATACACTAGAAATGGAAAATAAGATTAGCAGCGACATTTCTTGTCATGGGGGCATTTTTTGTCTATGCATACAAAATAAAACAAGTTCAGTGCAGCTGCCGAAAGAGGAGTGAGAGAGATGATATAAATTGAAAGATGAAAAGGCAGAGGGTGAGTGCAAAGAAGCACGTTGGGAGCACAGAGTCAGCTGGCAAGAGAAAGCAGCTCCAAGAGCCTCAGAAGGTAAAACCCCAATTAGCAGATCAAGTGGGTGAGAAGCAGGTTTGGAATAAAAGAGCAACAGCAGTATACGCAACTTCAAGGAAGATTAGAAGAGCAAGGTGATGAAAGTATGCAAGAGTCTTTGGAGATTATTAGGAATTGTAGGGAATTACAATGATGAGAAAATTGTGGGGGAAAGTCTTTACACAGTCTTTAGTAAAAGGAAATCACCTGTCAAAATCTGTCTGCATGGACACCAACGTGAGACCCCTTTCTTCAAGAACAAAGTGTGTCCTCTGATCAGATTTGCCTTCAACTTTCCTCCATTTCTCCAAATCATCTCCCTCTGCTGGTTGAAATGCAAATGGGCACATAGATCAGTGCATAAAATATAAACTAAATTTCAAATAAAGGGAAAGAAAACACATTTAATGGTAGAATTCCACAGAACTTACCGGTAACCTGAAAAAGTCCTGCAATTAAATTTGAAAATGAATTTGCATAAATCATCCAGATTTGCTAGCTACATCTGTAGATGATAAATGTGAGATCTACAATCATCTGATTAAGTTATTCTAGGCAAAAAGTCAATTTAAATAAATCAGATAGATACATATTTGGGGAGGAACCCTGAGCAAACTCCTTTATCAGTATTGATTAGCTGAATCAAATTATGATTTTCTATTAGAATGTGACAAGTGCCCACATACCTTCTTAAAGAGAGAATTTAGTCTGGGCTGGTGCTGTGGTACAGCAGGAAAAGCCGCCGCCTTCAGTGCTGGCCCATATGTCCACCGGTTCAAGACCTGGCTGCTCCTCTTCTGATCCAGCTCTCTGCTATGGTCTGGGAAAGCAGTACAAGATGGCCCAAGTGCTGGGGCCTCTGACCCTGCATGGGAGACCTGGAGGAAGCTCAGGGGGCAGGGCTGTAGTGCAGTAGCCCACCTGAACCTGCTGGTTCAGGTCCCGGCTAACCCACTTCTGATCCAACTCTCTGCCAATGAACCTGGGAAAGCAGCGGAAGATGACCCAAATGCTTGGGCCCCTGCACCCTTGTGGGAGACCAAGAGGAAGCTCCTGGCTCCCAGCTTTCACATGGCCCAGCTCTGGCTATTGTAGCCATTTTTGAGAGTGAACCAACAGATTGACGATCTCTCTCTCTCTCTCTCTCTCTTCTCTCTCTCTTTCTTTCTCTCTCCCCCTCCCCCCTCTTCTTCTCTCTCCCTCCCTCTCTCTGTAACTCTGACTTTCAAAAACATAAAAAATGAGAAATAAATTTTAAATACAAAATGTCTATTTTAATTTTTTATTCTACCTCACATAAAGTAGCTCAAAGAATGTCAAAATTATGAAAATCATAATAAAGCCTACTATATTAGAAAGAGCAGCATGTTCAGAATCATGGAACTTGGCACTTACCTTTAATACCACCTCTTATAAAAAGCCCTTGAAACCTGCTCCTCTACTTTCCAATACAAATTCCATCTGTCCTGCTTGACTTCCCATTGCCATACTCATACCTACCTTAACTTAACTTTTGGAGATTTGTCAAGCTCAAAGGGATTCTGTCACACTCATTTTGTAAACAGCACACATTTGGTACATTGAAGATTGTAGATACTTCAGTTAAGCTGAGACTATTTGGGAAAAATACAAATCAATCCATTGATTTTTTTATTGTAACACTATGTGGATAGACTAGAATCTATAAAGAAAATTCAAAATTCAACTATTTAATCATCTATATCTCAAAACAATATTTTGTGAACTAAAAGAAAGCCATCATGATTATTTCTGAAGTCAATACTGAAGCTTTTCTGCATTTCTGTAATCAAAAATAGCTTTCAAGATTAAAAGAGGAAATAAATATATTTTTACTAACAAAAGATTGAGACATGAGACAATGGCGTAGCAACTTGTCTAAAGTATTGTATGAGTGCTTAGAAACAATCAATTGTAAGCAAAAACAATCTTTGAAAAGCTATTACATGTATTTATCATTCTTACAATTGAACTCTTTTGACTTAAAATTTCCCAGGTTAAACATCACATGTGTTAGGACCAGCTTTGCAGCTTACCTGGTAAAGCCGCCACCTGTATCAGTTCCAGTCTAGCTCCCTGCTAATGCACCCGGGAAAGCTTCAGTCTACCCAAGTGCTTGGGCCCCTGCACTCACATGGGAGACCAGGAACAAATTCCTGGCTCCTGGCTTGGCCCGGCCCAGCCTCAGTCGTTGCAGCCATTTGGGGAATGAACCAGGCAGAGAAGGATCTCTCTCAGTGTCTCTCCCTTTCTGTATCTCTGCCTTTTAAATAAATGTAATTTTTTAATAAAAATCACATGTGAGAATGAGACACCTACATACATTCATACAATTAAGCGAATACACAGATGCAAGTTCTTAAGTTATACTCCCCAAATAGTGAATTGATTTCATTTGCTTCTCTAACATTTACCTAGTATTTTCCCCAAAAGTAACCTGACTAATAAGCAACTTCATGTCTTGGAACGTAATGTGCAAGAATAGATTTGATGGTGGAATGCAAAGGTTTATTTTAGAAAGTGACAACTCACAAAGGAAAGAGAAAGTAAGCGAAGGAAAAGAAAGGCAAGACACAAAATTATTTAGATTGAAGGTTCTAGCAGCTGTGCAAATAAAGAAAATGGTGCAATCAACAGTTCACATCTTTCTGATGTGAACTGAAAAAGATCTATGTAAATAGCTTTGACACTTAAGCTCCCATTGAAAATAATGCAAAAAAAAAAATGCAAGCAAGAAGTTGTAAAGTATGAAGAGTATCACAGTCACTTTTCTTCCAGCAGACACAGGCCACTGCTCAGCTCTGCTCAGCTGATTTACATATTTAAAAAATAACTCAGGATTACTGATTTCTTTACATGACATGGAAATACAACTCTTGATGGAGAACGGAGCGGAAGTTGTAAGAGAAACTTGCCCAACTGGATCATGGGTGCTATGCAAATGACACCAGGATTGCCAGGGCTTTAGCCCGAATGCTAAACCAAGTCTCCAATGGGGGAAATTTCTCGCACCTTACAATTTTTAATAAAATAAGGTAACAAAAGTTAATGGCTTGCCAGATGTTCACCGTAGGGAGTTTGTTTCAGGGAAATGAAGGAAGAACTTAATTTTGAATTTATGAGAACATTTACCCTGCGTTTTCTCTTGTTTGTCCCAGGTTGCTTTTCAGCTTTGTTGACCAGTGCCAGAAATGCCACACTGGGACTGTTTCAGTGCCATTCATCTCTGCATTAGAACAAGATGTGTTTAATGTTCTCTTGCTTGTTTTTTTTTTTTTTTTCTTGCCAGGATACAGCTAAAATTAGCTATAAAATTATCCTGAAAATAGCCATTTCTTTGACAATTTTTGATCAGCTTGGCAATAAAGAAAACAAACAAGTCAATAAAAAAAAAAACTCTTGAACAAAAATTCTATACTAAATCTGCAGCATTTTGTAAGACACTTTTTTTTCAGCTTGTTTAGCTAAAGGGTGTGTGTGTGTGTGTTTATTAATTTTTTTAATGAAGTGAAAATGAGACATTGCACTTGGGTGGTCTCCAGGATTAAATAGACATAACAGTGGAGGAATCAGTGTTTTGGATTTTTTTTTTTTTTTAATCAGTCTTAAGAAGTTAGAACCTAGGGCTGGCACTGTGGTGCAGCGGGTTAACGCCCTGGCCTGAAGCACCGGCATCCCTTATGGGTGCCAGTTCAAGACCTGGCTGCTCCGCTTATGATCCAGCTCTCTGCTATGGCTTGGGAAAGCAGTGGAAGATGGCCCAAGTCCTTGGGCCCCTGCACCCACGTGGGAGACCAGGAAGAAGCTCCTGGCTCCTGGCTTCGGATCGGCGCAGCTCTGGCATTGCGGCCAATTGGGGAGTGAACAAAGGATGGAAGACCTCTCTCTGCCTCTCCTCTCTCTGTGTAACTCTGCCTTGGGACAGGGCGGTGAATCAAGAGAGAAAGGGAAAGGACAAGAGGGGAACTGAGAACAAAAAGGAACTAAAACAATCAACTCTTCCTCCTATTGTAGAACCGTGTTTAGACACTGTTTACGGAGTAGGCTTGATATCCACCTGCACACATGCTACAGTCAGTCTTGTTAAAATCGTGAACTTTCAGGGCCCACTCCAGAGAAACTGCTTTTTAGATTTCTCAGGAAACATTCTCTCATAAGTGCATGATACACAACCTGTAAAATAATGTTTGAGATAAATCTAACAAAAAATTCATGAAATTCGGGGCCAGTGTCATAGTGTAGCAGGTCAAGCTGTGCTTTGAAATGCCCACCTCCCATATCAAAAAGCTGATTCCTGTTCCAGCACCGCCACTTCTAATACAGCTTCTACTGATACATCCGTGTCACCACATAGAAAATACAGATGGGTTTCTGGCTCCTGGCTTCAATCTGTCGGTAGCCTGGTCCAGCCCTATCTGTTGCATGCATTTGCCAAGTGAATCGGTAGATAGAAAAATCTCTCTTACTCTCTCTCTCTCTCTCTCTTTCTCTCTCTCTGCCTTTCAAGGAGATGAAAATAAGTATTTTCTAAAAAACACATAAGTATCAATTAAGATAATTTTACTGACCCAACAATTGTGGACATCAACAAATACTAGCCTTAGAATTGTTTTTAAATGTGTGCTTTATAAGTAAATGAAAGTGAAAATATAAATTCAAAAAATATTTGTTGAATATGCAATTGAAAGAAAAAATGGGCTAATAGGTTTATACATTATGCAGACCCTGGGTACTCAAATGGTGTAATCTAGGATAAGAAATCTGGTCTTAACATTTATTAATTTTCTTTTTATTTACAGTTTTATTGATATAAACATATTTCATGTAGCTCATATATATTTCTAAGTATATAATAGTATTTCCCTCCTCCTTCCATGCTCTTTTTTTCAATTTTTATGATACATATTTTTAATATTTCACTAAAAAAGAGTTAAGCAAGTAAGGAACAGAAAGACCACTGTTCACTAGGAAAAAGACAAGGACTATGAACAATAATAAAATCCCACAATGTCTATTTTACTCATATATATTAAATTTTTATGTTCTATAAATTGGCTACCACAAATCAGAGAAAACATGATTTTTTAAAATATTGATTAATTTTATATGCAATTTCCAATTTAAAACCAAATTTTATAACTTTAAGCCAACATAACAAAGGGAATATGTTAGAAGATAATATATACTATGTCACTAATGGTTTTTCCTTTGGAACTTTGATTCATTGTTGGAAAAAGCAACAAAATGCTCAATTTCCATCACTGGAGGAAGACTTACAAACAGAATGAATATTACATAATTTATCCAACTAATCCTTCATTTAAAGGCAATATTTCTCAAAGTCCATATATTTGTCTAAATCTATAATTTTGGGCAGATCCTTTTAAGCTATGTCAAGGTATTATGGAAACGAATGCAGGTATTTGCTGCAGGATCTACGTATTTTAGACCAATTCCAATTATTTCATGAAATCTCTGGTTTTTTGGCTATATTATCCTTTCTCATTCTGACACAAAAATTTTCTCAGCTATTTGTTCAATCTACCACATAAAAGTAGCTCATGTACTAGCAATAGTCTTTTTGTAAAATGTTGAGGATCCATGCCCCAAGAGACTATGTCCTAGATAATTTCATCAACACCTTTGAGTAAATGTGTCCTCCAAATCTTCCCATGTATGATATTCTCAAAATGTGCAAAATACTTTAACCTTAAAGAGCCAAGCATTGACTGTCTCTCCTCCAGTAATCTTTGACAAAAAGAATAGGGATGTGGTAATGCTAAATATCTTGTTCCCACCCTACCAAGGGAGACAGGCAGAGGCAGCAGGGGTCTTTGGCCACTAACCACCTTACTTTCAGAAAAAAAATTACATCTACAAAATTCAATTGCCAAAATAACTCAGACTGCTATGAAATGGACATTATTCCCACATGACCAAAATAACTATCTCTAGCCATATATTTGTCTAATAAGTATTGACCATTAACATAACAAGACAAATTTTCTAGTTGGATTAAAAGTCTACCTTGTGTTCCATCAACTTTATTATGCTTTATTTATTTACTTATTTATTAGATTTACCTAAGTTATTTCTACTTTGTGCCTGATTGTAGACCTTAAAAGAAAACAGGTTATCAAGTGAATTGTATATAAGAAGGTATATAA